GGCCAATGTGCGCATGCGCGTGTTTGCATATATTGCAATGAACATTCGTTTACCGGTTTATGTCTATGTTCATGCCATGAACCACCCATTTTACCATTCATAGACCAACATTTAGTGTCAAGATTACTAGATAATTTCAGTATGTTAGCCTGAAAGCACTGGTCTTTAGAACATTCGCCTACCTCAGTCGGTTTGCAAGTCACCTTGAACCTCCTCTGTAGTACTGAACTGGTTTTTTGTCTCATTTGTTTTTGTAAAACGATGGGACATCATGATAGGCCAGTAAAACAGAAAACAACAACATGCTAAGGAAGAGAAAAAGGGTAAGGAACATACCTGTGATACATAGTAATGCTTCTATTCTATGTCACACAAACAACAAACATGAAACATATCTCTGCCTGCTCCAGCGTCAACTGTCAACCAAGTTGATTGTGCTCGTAGTCGGGTGGTAAGGCATTTTGATGGGATTCAAATGATAAACATCATTTTCAACTTGCCGGCTATGAGGTAAGAGTGAACCAGCACTGTCCATTAAAACGCCCAAGAAGAAAAGCAAACAGATTTAAAACAAAGCACTGAAATGAAAATGGGGTAGTAACAGAATCTGATAGTACAATCAGTAAATATTTGTAACAATCATCATCAAAATCCTCTGGAAGAGAAGCATTGTTCGAGACTGAATCAACAAATGGGAGACATGAGAAAAGACTGGGCAAAAAATGACAAAATAGTTCCTTGATAATAAAAGAATCGTCCCTCGAGATTATTGCAGCTTGTTGCCTAATAGTCTTTGAAAGGTTTACAAGGATTCATGTATACATATGTACAGATTCTAATATCAAATACCTGTTGATGTATGCAAAACAAAACACTAGCAAATGAATGTTATAGTAAAACCACTACACCTCTCAAGAGATTACAATATAATTGATACAACAGATAAAAAGTCACATCTACAAGAATTGCAGAAAACTATACGTAACTATTCAGCTTCTTCTGCAGGTGCCCTATGGTAGACAATTGTCTCGTTGGAACTTATAGGATTTGCATGATACTGCCCATAAAAAGCATAAATACCAACTGTAACAATGCTGAGGACGACAAATCTCACCCAGGCTTCATAGTGTAACTACAAAATAAAGTTGGTAATCAGCTTGGGTGCATTAATCAATTCTTTATATTTTGTTTCAGAATTATGTTTTTGCAGTGTTCATGTAGTTTGTAGCAGTGCTTTATAAGCAACCTGAGCAAAAAGGAACATGTTGAAGAAGATGCAAACAGCCGGCACAATTGGAACCCCTGGACAAGAAAAACTTGGTGGATCTGTATAAACCTGTGAGAAGGAACAGGAAAAGGTGGTTATTAAGAGGAAAGAGGTATAGTCAACTTAGGCAAAAGCTGTGCCAAAATTTTAGACAACAGCTAAAAGCAGTGTCCTGTAATCTTGTATGGATGGTAATTTTACATCCTACAGAATCCATGGGATCAAAATGACAAATAGAGATGCATTTGGGAATCCTAAACACTTTGTTTATTTCTTTAACTTTTCTTGTCTCTTGGGCCATTTTAAGGAATTATCCATATTGGCAATGAAATCGCCAAACCAATTCCCCCCTGGCCCCTCCAAAAAAAAAAGCACAACCATATTTTTCTCCCCCAAAACAGAAAGAAAAGGGCACAAAATGCACAAATGCCTTCAAATACGCCGTCACATTGTGTCAACATCCTAACTTAAATTTCATTCCAAACATGTACTTTGAAAAGAATAGAAGAAATACACAAATAAACAAGACATGTAAGTTTTAAAGTATGGTGTCAGTGGTAAGAGAGACAGACAGATACTTTCTGGTCAAGATAAATGTTTTGTAATATTGAAGCCTTTCTCTATTTTTAAAACAGAATCTCCAATTTGTATGCTCAAGACACAGAGTTCATCAAATTATTTTTTTGGAGAGTGACCACAAGGGAACGAGCCTACTAAAGGTTAGGTCTATATCCACTGTTCCCTTCCCAGCACCGAGTAATGGCCTTTTCTTTTCTTTTCCTATGACAGGCAACATATTGTGCATTCTCTGTCTAATTTCAATACGGCTTGAAGGATACACTTTTTTTCCAGTAAGTGGGTTGAAGGATACTAACAAGATAAGTTTGTTAGGAGTTTTGTATCTTATCTGTTCTAGGCAATGGTCAGGAATTGGTGTGTGTTAATGGTGCTAGACCACATGGAAACAGTTAAAAGTTTTTCTAGTTCAGCAGTTGCCATATAACTTCAACTGGTCATAATTTAGTATGCATGCAATCTTTTTAGTGAGGTTAGTATGGTGTGTGGGTGGGAAGAGGAGAAAAGGGAGGTAACTACCCAAAGATGTATCGGTCACACCATGCAAGTATAGTCTTCATAACACTATAACACACCTATGAGAATCCAATGTAACTAAAATATTTCAAACAATGAAAGTTTCGAGTTTTAATTTTCTGTTCAATTTTGAAGTAGTTTATACCCAACATGACAATAAAATTGCAACATCCCCTAGACATGGCNCATTATTTGATTATTTTATGTTTAAGAACTATGTATAGTGCTTTTAAACACGTGATACAAAACGAGTTTAGACTTTCAGTTTAGTACCTANGGGTTAATTTGAGTTTTTGAATGTTTGTGTTCAATTTTTGGCTTTTTTTATATTTGGGTATTTTTAATTTAGATGTCTTTATAATGGGTGTTTAAATTGAGCCTTTTTAATTTTTGTTTAATCCCAGGTACACCCCCTTCTCTCACTCTGTCTCTATCTCTCTTTCTCCCTCTTCCTCTTTCATGACAAACAATCGCAAACACACACAAACTTCACCCAAACAAAAACACAGGAGCACACACACACGCACAGTAGCACACACACATAACAACACACAAAACACAACCACATTTGCACACAAACACACACACTGCACAACAGCACACAATGACACAAATTTGTGTTTGGATTTTTGAATTTGAATTCATTTGGGTTTTTGAATGTTTGTGTTTAATTTTGGTGTTTTTAATTTTGCTTTTTTTTTTTTAACAATTTGGTGTTTAATTTGGGTGTTTTTAATTTGAATGTCTTTTAATTGAGTGTTTAGTTTGGGTGTTTAATTGAATGTCTTTTTTTTTAGTTACGAATGTTAGGTTGTTTGTGCATATGTTGAGTTGATAATTATTGAGTGTTCATTTTGTAGAGTAATTTATTTTCAAATTGGGTGTTGAATATAGTTTGTGAAATTTCAATTTGATTTTTTAATATCTTGATTAGATGAATGTTACTTTGTATGAAATATCTTAATTTGATAAATTTTAATTAGTGTGAAATAGGTTTTTATAGGGTTTTGATTAATTATAGATATTGTATGTCAATTAGTATGAAATAGAGGTTATGATGTGTTTTAGCAATTTACAATAAAATGAAATGTGTATTTAACGAATATTTCTAATTTTTTGATTTACTCTATTTGTTATATTTGTAACCATCATAGTGTACTAATCACCTTTGCAACCTCACAACATTGAAAAATGAAAGATCTCACCATTTTTTGTCATAATTTTAAAATTTCTGTCGTGTACTAAATTTAACTGTTTTTGTAAATGTTATATTGTTGTACATTCCTCCCAATTGGAAGATGCGAATTTGGATTGATACAATGACATTCAAGGCTGTGATGGAGAGAGAGTATTTACAATGACGTGCGGATAAATAACCAATTTTGCAAATGTATTATATATAATTACGTTTTGTGGTCATTGTTCAATCTTATTTATGTTTAGGCACAACTACGAGTTTATTTTGCAATGATACTATATGTTTAGACACAACTATGAGTTTATGACGTGCAAAATAATGGTTATTATTGTTTTGATGCCTAAAGTAATTGGTAAATAGTCATGTTTAGGTATGACGATGGTTAATATTATGATGTTTTTTTTGGTAATCAGCATGCAAATGACATGGTTTGGTTATGATTATAAAATATATAAGTTTTGTAAACAGATTGATTTATTTGTGGTATCATATTTTTAAAGGATACTATGTCGAAAAATTAAAATTTTCTTACATTAATTTCAATTTCTCTCATTACATGATTTTTGAATTACGCAAATTTTTTAGTGACCCAAACTGTAATTTAATACCTCTAGCTTGATTTTTGTTCATTCATTGAGATAGAGATTGATTTATAAATAGTTTATGTCATTTTGTTTTGTGATTAAAGTAGTCTGTGATTGAAAAATTTTATGGGTTTATTTCAATTTTTTAAGAATCTTTTTTTCTGCTGTCACTTTTACAAATATGGATATAGTTATTTATGTAGGAAGAATGGTGATGTGGTTATTGGTACATAGTTGAATTTCGGTATGTATATGACACGATTTGATTATGATTATGAAATATATAAGTTTTGTAGACGGGTTGATATATTTGTGATATCATATTTTCAGAAGATACTCTGCCAAAAAATTGAAAGTTTCTTACAGAGTATCCACATTTTAGCCTTTTTTATTTCACTAAAATCGTGACATTAAAAATGACTAAATGATCTTTAGCATAATACATGTTTATATTCATTATTTGATTATTTTATGTTTAAGAACTATGTATAGTGCTTTTAAACACGTGATATAAAACGAGTTTAGACTTTCAATTTAGTACCTGTCTAAGTTCAGTGCTTGATTATTTCGCATTCAAATTCAATATTCGATTTTTTTTAGTTGCACCATGCGTTCAAGCACGGATTATCCTACTAAACCTTAATTATAACTAGTATTACAAGAGGAAAAGACCATTTAGATATGGAGATTATATCCTATGGCAGAAATTTAAGCAGCTACAATTGAGTTTTGTTGGCCATTTCAACAATAGAGTAGGGGTAATTCCGTCATTTTGAACAAACGGTAACATGATTAGACCTTTTGAATTTCCTCTCTCCTCTTCTCCTCTGTCTACCACCTTTTTTCATTCTCTCTCCCTCTCTCTCTCTCTCTATCACACACAGTCATTTTCCTTTGCTCCAAAGTCTTCCTTTCTTCTTCACCTAACCTCAGAAAAAGCTCCTCTGTTCAACAATGGCGTGTACAGACTCCTTCAGCAAATCCCACAGGCTAGTTCAAGACCTAGCTTCTCCGGTTGTTCCAAAGCCAAGTAAGTCCTACACAAACTTCTTATGTAAATCGTTAATCATTGTCCTTGTTCTTGTTGTTATTCCCCTTTTTCCTTCACAAGCTCCTGAATTTATCCGCCAAAGTATAATCACCAAGTTCTGGGAACTTCTTCACCTTCTGTTCATTGGCATTGCTGTGTCTTATGGCTTGTTTAGTAGAAAAAAAGTCAAATTGGACGTTGAAACTCACTCTAGAAATGATAGTTCACAGAATTATTTGTCTGGAATTCTACAAGTTTCATCAATTTTTGAAGATGGATTTGAGAATTTTTGTGGGTCTGATGAGAAAAAAGGGGTTCAAACTTGGAATTCTCGGTACTTACAGAGTGCATCTATTGGTGCATTCACTAAAGAAGAAGGTAAAGATTACAGATCTTCAGTTTGCAAAAATGGATTTGAGAACCCATATGGGTCTGATGAGAAAAAGGTGACTCAGTACTTCCATGATGAATCCATGGTTGTAATTGCCAATGGAAACTATGGTCTTGACCAATGGGGCAAACCTTTGTCAGATAGTGACTATAAACCCTTGGGTTTACCTATTAGAAGTCTAAGATCAAGAAATGCTGACACTGATACCTCTGAATCCATTAATAGAAGTGGGTCTAGTTCAAGTTTGAGGGATTCTTCCAAGAGAGGTGATAAAATTGACAAAGTAAAATTTAGGGGCATGGCTCCTATTAATTTGGGGGAAAAGTTTAGAGAAGTTGCGGTACCTTCCCCCATCCCTTGGCGATCAAAGTCGGGGAGGATGGAAATGAGAGAAGAAGTAATTTCTGTTAAACCCCCTTCACATACTAGGCCTCTCTCTGTTGGCCAATTTGATCTTGAGAATCTCAAATCGCGGTCATTCCCGTGCCCAAAACCTTCTGAATCCAGTTCCATGTCTGCATCACTGAAGAAACCCTCACATTCTATTTCCCCAGAATTGCCCAACTCAAGAAAGAAGAATTTTGAGGAATCTTCCATGAGAGCTTCAAATTCACCATTATCACCAAGAAATGGTGAAGCATCATTCCTTTCTTCAAAGAAAAGGGAATTTAGCATTGGGTCTTCCTCAGAGATGAATGTGCGGAGGAGTTCCATAGATGACTTGAAGAGAGATTTAAGTAATTGTAAAAGGGAGGATCCACTGGGGAGAGAAAAGCAGGATATGGATTCATTGGCCTCGGAAGTGAAATCCTCAACCCTTGTCAAAGGTTTGTCAAGGGGAAAATCGGTTAGAACAATTAGATCGAGTAAGCAATTTGTTGAAACAAAGGAAAAGGCAGAGGGTTATTCAAATCAAAGAGATGACAAATTTGGAATGAAGTGGGATCAAATTGAAGTAACCTCAATGGAAAATCCAGGAAGGAGAGAGAGACCTGAAAATCTTCCAGTTCACTATAGAAAACATAAGATTGATCATCTCTGTCATATTCCAAACTCCACATTTTACCTGTATCAGAATGGAGAAAAGCAAGACACTGCTGACAGTGTAGTGGAGGCCAAAGAGGACTCAGAGTCGGAGAGTGAGTTGGACAACTTTCATGTGAGTTCAGAATCTTCAGATGAAGAAGAAGCTCAATATGACAGTGAGGACGATGCTGAACTTGAAACCAGTGAGGTTGATCGGAAAGCTGGCGAGTTTATAGCCAAGTTTAGAGAGCAAATTAAGCTTCAGAAAACTGCATCAATGGAAAGATACCCTGATTGGTAGATGCTCAACAAGTTAAATTACAAATTTCTGATATGCAAAAGAATTCAATATATAGAGATGATATGAAGTTGATTTGTTATTCCATCTTCCTTTTGTTTTCTGTTTGCATCCCTCACTGTAAATTTAGCTCAAATTTTCATCTAACCTGGGCATTGGTGTAGATTTGTAGTGCATGAGAATAGGAAATTTATTGCAGAAACAGTGTGTTTCTGTTGCTACCTTTCTCAGTTTTGCCCAACATTCTTGCTTGCTTGTGCACATACATACAATGAAGCATTATGTATCTAGGCATGTAGCATTTGGATACAATGACATTTTCCCTATATCAACCAAGTGAAGATAAAGGATTTGGCATTGAAAGAACCAACAAACCTCCTGTATTTGTTTTTTTTTTTTTTTCAAATGGTTTAAAATCGAGGTATTTTCCATCGACTAGGAGAACAATGATACGCATGAGTCTGGTTTCTCAGAATCGTACCGAGTGATACATAAGAAATGCTGCATAGAAGAAGCTTAATACAGTGAAATATATAATTAAGTCATATCGCAGCGTGGCTGAACTGTAATGGTTGAGTTGATTACGATGACTCGAACAACTTGAAGAACAACTTGGTCAAGCAGTGGGAGATGCGTAGTTTACACAAAAAGTGCAAAGGTTTTAGATCAGAAAGTTCTGAGTCAAATACGAGTCAAACAAATCATATGAATATCGACCGATACTTTAAATCAGTTTTTAGCTGACAGAGGTAGTTATGCTTCACAAGCTTGAAGCTTTGACAGCAAAACCACACTATGCTTACCTCCCTCAGACCCCCATTGTAGGTCGATCGATATTTCGTCCTTTCTTGCCTTTCCCTGCCCAGTTTTCCAAGTTAATTTGTCACAAGCTTTTTATCTGGGGAGTTGTTGTGTCTTCTACAAGCTCTACGGTTTGAACTGATTATATAAAAGTTTCTTGGTTTTTTTTTTTTTTTTGAGATTATCTTATACGGCGAACTTGAGGCTTGGAGTCAGGAATCTTCCCCTTTGCATTTCATATGAAAAAGAAAACCACTAGGAGTCTCTTCTTTGAACCTGAAAGATTGGATATCTGACATTTCCATTATTGGTAAGCCTTTGTTTGAAAGATGTTGATGCATTTGGTATTTCAGTCAGAAGTGTTAAGATTAACTTATGCGTACTTCGATTAATTTTTTCTCCAATTCGATCGTAGGTCATCCACACAAAACTAGAAAATTCATAAAAGATAAATTCGTCATGACTAAATCCCAAAAGAATTATCAAATTTTAAACTGAGAATGTTTAGATTTACATTTCATTTCGGTCTCCACAAGATTGGTTAAACTTGGGGTTGTGTTTCTTAGTTTTGCCAATGTAATAAGCCCATTTGAAATAATGAATAATGCTACTATATTTGCTATCTAAAAGCTTGCCCCCACCCTAGCAGACCCTTTCATCATGACTTCAAACGTTGAATGTATCAAGATTTTAACTTTTCATAAGATTATCATGGATTTGTAGGTGATTGTATGTATCCAAAATTTATATTGCATCAATGAAATATGAAGAGTGCATGGTTGTTGCAACGATTTCCCATTACAAAAAGGATAGAAAAAGAAAAAAAACCCATAAATGTCATTTCTAAAGTCTAAAGAGTTACAAATTTTTATGTCTATACGTTGTTGGACCAAAGCACTTACCGTTGCACCAAAACCCACAGGTCGGATTGGTTAAACCCCCCACTGAGTCTCAGGAAGCACCTCTACAAAGGCCAATGTGCGCATGCGCGTGTTTGCATATATTGCAATGAACATTCGTTTACCGGTTTATGTCTATGTTCATGCCATGAACCACCCATTTTACCATTCATAGACCAACATTTAGTGTCAAGATTACTAGATAATTTCAGTATGTTAGCCTGAAAGCACTGGTCTTTAGAACATTCGCCTACCTCAGTCGGTTTGCAAGTCACCTTGAACCTCCTCTGTAGTACTGAACTGGTTTTTGTCTCATTTGTTTTTGTAAAACGATGGGACATCATGATAGGCCAGTAAAACAGAAAACAACAACATGCTAAGGAAGAGAAAAAGGGTAAGGAACATACCTGTGATACATAGTAATGCTTCTATTCTATGTCACACAAACAACAAACATGAAACATATCTCTGCCTGCTCCAGCGTCAACTGTCAACCAAGTTGATTGTGCTCGTAGTCGGGTGGTAAGGCATTTTGATGGGATTCAAATGATAAACATCATTTTCAACTTGCCGGCTATGAGGTAAGAGTGAACCAGCACTGTCCATTAAAACGCCCAAGAAGAAAAGCAAACAGATTTAAAACAAAGCACTGAAATGAAAATGGGGTAGTAACAGAATCTGATAGTACAATCAGTAAATATTTGTAACAATCATCATCAAAATCCTCTGGAAGAGAAGCATTGTTCGAGACTGAATCAACAAATGGGAGACATGAGAAAAGACTGGGCAAAAAATGACAAAATAGTTCCTTGATAATAAAAGAATCGTCCCTCGAGATTATTGCAGCTTGTTGCCTAATAGTCTTTGAAAGGTTTACAAGGATTCATGTATACATATGTACAGATTCTAATATCAAATACCTGTTGATGTATGCAAAACAAAACACTAGCAAATGAATGTTATAGTAAAACCACTACACCTCTCAAGAGATTACAATATAATTGATACAACAGATAAAAAGTCACATCTACAAGAATTGCAGAAAACTATACGTAACTATTCAGCTTCTTCTGCAGGTGCCCTATGGTAGACAATTGTCTCGTTGGAACTTATAGGATTTGCATGATACTGCCCATAAAAAGCATAAATACCAACTGTAACAATGCTGAGGACGACAAATCTCACCCAGGCTTCATAGTGTAACTACAAAATAAAGTTGGTAATCAGCTTGGGTGCATTAATCAATTCTTTATATTTTGTTTCAGAATTATGTTTTTGCAGTGTTCATGTAGTTTGTAGCAGTGCTTTATAAGCAACCTGAGCAAAAAGGAACATGTTGAAGAAGATGCAAACAGCCGGCACAATTGGAACCCCTGGACAAGAAAAACTTGGTGGATCTGTATAAACCTGTGAGAAGGAACAGGAAAAGGTGGTTATTAAGAGGAAAGAGGTATAGTCAACTTAGGCAAAAGCTGTGCCAAAATTTTAGACAACAGCTAAAAGCAGTGTCCTGTAATCTTGTATGGATGGTAATTTTACATCCTACAGAATCCATGGGATCAAAATGACAAATAGAGATGCATTTGGGAATCCTAAACACTTTGTTTATTTCTTTAACTTTTCTTGTCTCTTGGGCCATTTTAAGGAATTATCCATATTGGCAATGAAATCGCCAAACCAATTCCCCCCTGGCCCCTCCAAAAAAAAAAGCACAACCATATTTTTCTCCCCCAAAACAGAAAGAAAAGGGCACAAAATGCACAAATGCCTTCAAATACGCCGTCACATTGTGTCAACATCCTAACTTAAATTTCATTCCAAACATGTACTTTGAAAAGAATAGAAGAAATACACAAATAAACAAGACATGTAAGTTTTAAAGTATGGTGTCAGTGGTAAGAGAGACAGACAGATACTTTCTGGTCAAGATAAATGTTTTGTAATATTGAAGCCTTTCTCTATTTTTAAAACAGAATCTCCAATTTGTATGCTCAAGACACAGAGTTCATCAAATTATTTTTTTGGAGAGTGACCACAAGGGAACGAGCCTACTAAAGGTTAGGTCTATATCCACTGTTCCCTTCCCAGCACCGAGTAATGGCCTTTTCTTTTCTTTTCCTATGACAGGCAACATATTGTGCATTCTCTGTCTAATTTCAATACGGCTTGAAGGATACACTTTTTTTCCAGTAAGTGGGTTGAAGGATACTAACAAGATAAGTTTGTTAGGAGTTTTGTATCTTATCTGTTCTAGGCAATGGTCAGGAATTGGTGTGTGTTAATGGTGCTAGACCACATGGAAACAGTTAAAAGTTTTTCTAGTTCAGCAGTTGCCATATAACTTCAACTGGTCATAATTTAGTATGCATGCAATCTTTTTAGTGAGGTTAGTATGGTGTGTGGGTGGGAAGAGGAGAAAAGGGAGGTAACTACCCAAAGATGTATCGGTCACACCATGCAAGTATAGTCTTCATAACACTATAACACACCTATGAGAATCCAATGTAACTAAAATATTTCAAACAATGAAAGTTTCGAGTTTTAATTTTCTGTTCAATTTTGAAGTAGTTTATACCCAACATGACAATAAAATTGCAACATCCCCTAGACATGGCATGAAGTTTTACTTACTTGCCGGAAATGAAGAGCGGCAGCAGCAAAGATTGCAATAACTACAGCAACAATCAGAAGAATATACGATGCGCTGAAACGGTAAAAGAGTCCAGCAGCAAAACCACAACAGGCAATTATGATGAGGCAAACAACACCTTCCCCCCAGTTTGACATCCATCTGGTAGAAACTTGACTTGCAGTTCTATCCTTCAAGCGGAGGGTTACCACACATGCTGAAACAATGGAATATCCAGTCTGAAACAACCATAGTATTTATGTGAGTTGCACATAATTCAACTATAAATATGACTAAGATGTTCAAGAAAGGACTGTTACCAATACCACACTTCTGAGGACTTTTTTTTCAAAGAAAAGACTGTTAGACAGAAACATGAATAATATGATTAGCACTTGCATGAGATAAAGTAAATGCAGAAGATTCATCCAACTTTCGCCTTTATCAAACACAAATACATTCATCAAGATCAACTTGTTAAAGACAGAAGCTGGATGCCGACATACCAATGAGCCAACTGAGAGAATGTGCGAGAGCACAGTAACATTGAATAGCCCAGCCAAGACGCAAGCAACAATACCAACCCAGACCTGTGAATGAACAGGAGTGTGGCGTGTCTGGTGTACCTTAGCAAATATTGAGGGTAGTAAACCATCCCTTCCAAGCCCAAGATACAACCGAGACTGCTCATGAGAAACATTTCAATTATTTTGCAAGCCCTGCTATGTGATGGAAGATGTCAACAATGCGGAAGTTCAATGTTATTTACCTGAACGTAAAGACCAACCAGAAGGGTTGTAGTAAGTCCAGCAACAGCACCAATGCTGATTAACACAGATACATATTTCAAGCCTTTGGCTGAGAAAGCTTCAGCCAAAGGAGCATCTTCCCCAAGAAATTGGTAAGGTACCATTCCAGTAATCACTAAGCACACACCAATGTATAAGGCAATACAAACAAGGAGGCTTCCCATTATGCCTAATGGTAAGTCCCGCTGGAATATCATGTTGACAAAAAAAAAAAAAAGGATTAAAAACAAGAAAGATCCAAAATAATACAATTATATTGGATATTAGGCAGCAACCATAGGGACTGCTATAGTGGCGCCACAAGGCATCAAATCCATCTACTCATAACAAACCTGTGGTCTTTTAGATTCTTCAGCTGAATTAGCAACTGCATCAAATCCAACATATGCAAAAAACACCACAGTTGCTCCAGTCAATATTGACTTAAAACCTTTTGGGGCAAAAGGTGACCAATTTGAAACATCAACCTCAAAAGCACCAACAATAATGACAAAAATAACAATGACTACCTGCAAAAAAAAAATGGGTGCCCCATCAGCCAAAAAGGATATCAATTCTTATTTCTACATTGAATTTCTTTTTTGATGTTAGTAGCAGAATAGGTTGCTTTGGTAACAGCATAATATAGTCTAATGAATTGGAAACATCTGGGGAGCAAACAGGAATATTATTCAGACCACACGATCGTATCTTGTATACTATATGCGACATAAATTAAGTGGTGTCACTAAAAAGCATTCTAGCTCTGAACAACCATTTCAATCATTAACATTGACAAGTGAACACAAACATATGTTTGATTGGTGCAAACGTAAGATGAACTCAAGATATGGTACAAGCAAATGTGCATGTATTCTGCACAAATGGTAAACAAAGTTCGCAATTCAAATGAAAAAAGTATAGTGAATTAGCTATGATTATACATCAAGAATGTGTTGCAAAGTGTTGAGTAATAAAATTATCTGGACGAGGATGTTTGGATTGTAAGGTTTTGATAATAATTGTAACAGTTGAGAGCATGTTATGGAAACAAGTACAATCAGCAGAACCCTGGATCATTTCTACTCATCAACAATTACCCAAAGTTGGACTTTCCTCACATTCTCCCCAACTTAAGCTGTGCCTACCACAGCAAAAATACCCACTCCCGCCAAGTTAAGTTGTTTCCACCACACTAAGTTGCCCCTAAATATCATGAAAACAACTTTTAATTTATAGTTTCAAGAAAGTTATACAACTCATTGAGTTATCCTAAACTATTCAGCATCTTCCATAATCACAAAATCTTCGGTATCTAGTGAACATGAGTCATAAATCCCATTCCTGGCATCGTTGCAGGATTCTATGTCATCATCAATCTCCCCAAGCTAAATATTAGGTGAAATGGGAGTCCTATTTTTCACAGGCTTCTCAGTAGTAAAGATTCCCATAATTGTGGTTCAAGTCTTATGTATGGCCCACTAGAAAGGGATATTAGCTACCTTAATCAACATTCACAGCTGGCAGAATATTGACTTCAAACTGGTGAGAGTGTGTGGCATATAAGTTCCTTACCATGCACTTCGTGGTTTTCTAGATTAATTTTCCACTGAATTTAGCTTTAGCAGATACTTGTGTTATTTCTATTTCCAAACATCTCTTAGATATTTTAATTTAAAAATGCAACCATACTTATGTTCATAAAAGCTTTAATCTTCCAGCTTTCGTGATTCAAGAAACCAAATTTTTAGCAGTTAATGCTTTTAAGGGAAAATAAAAGGCCACCATANGTGTTCATAAAAGCTTTAATCTTCCAGCTTTGGGGATTCAAGATACCAAATTTTTAGCAGTTAATGCTTTTAAGGGGAAAATAAAAGGCTACCATACAAAACAATGGCCTAAGTTTGATTGAATGACAAAAAATAAAAGAGGACGTCAAACTGAGCAATCAAAAATGTAGGATCAAAAGAACACCTTCAATGTAGTCATGACTGAATTTAGTAGAGATGATTCTCCAACACCCCGACATAGAATTATTGTCAGAAGTGCTAATAGAATTGGAGCTAATATGTTGAAAGATATAGCTCCAAATATTTCTTCACCCCCGTGACCAATCCAGCTTGGTATGTTATCCTTGAAGAAGGGAATGAGCTCTATTATATTGACTACATAGCTTGCCAAGCTACGTGCTATGCTAGCAGCACCGATGTGATAGTCAAGCATCAGTTGTGCAAAAACAAGAAAAGCAGTAAGCTCATTGAAGGCTGTATATGTATATAAGTATGCTCCCCCAACAACAGCAGGAAAACGAGAAGCTAGTTCAGCATAACAGAGTGCATTGAGCACACAAGACGCTCCTGCAAGTATGAAGCTAATTGTGACACCTGCATTGAAACAATAATAAAGGTATCAGTAACACGACACCCAAAGAGCCAAGTTTGCAAAAACCAAACATATTATGTTCCAAGTTTTGAAGGGTGTCCCTTGAACAATTCTTACAAAGCAACTTAAGTTGCTTTTGGCAGCATAGTTTTTATGCCGTGGAAGTGGACTGAAGACAATCTAGTTCAAAACTTGTATCATACTAGTTCTAATTCAAATTCCAATCGATTAATTGCGTTCCCCTATATGAACCAATACAGAAATTTCAACTTTGGAGCTGTGGCAACAATAAAGCAGCAAAATTGGAAACCCTGATTCCCATCTTAGCCAAAAATAAAGGAATAACCATAATCAACCACTAAACTTCCACCTTAAACTATCGTATTCACAAGCCACTTGATAAAAAAATCAGGTCTTTAAACGATACAAAACATGAATCAAATTCCTCTGTGCGTATAAAATTCAATCTTAATCAAATGCTGACTTATACACAAGTATACATATGTATGAATCTGGTTGAATTGGAGCATTCAAATTGTGGAACTAACCAGGACCGGCATCGCGAGCGACGGTACCGGTGACGACAAAGATTCCGGCACCGATGGAAGCGCCAATGCCGATGAGAACGAGATCGAAGAGGCTGAGACGGCGAACGAGGCCTTCGCCGTCATTAGTACGGACGGAGGTTTCCGAATAAGGAGTTAGGGTCTTCGCTCTGAGTGCAGAGGACCAGAAGTGAGAGAAGAACGAGGAAGATGTACGACTCTTCTCAGCTCTCATCTCTCTCTCTCTCGGACAGAACGACGAGAGTGGACGAATTACAAAGAAAAACGGAATGATCGCCGTTGAGGTTGACACCTGAATATATGTAGGGCTAATTACACTTTGCTACTTGAATTATTTCAAAATTAGCAATAACCCCCTTGAAGAACTATGTAATAAAAATTAAATATTAATTTTGTAATATTTATATATTAATTTTTTTTTAGTTATTTAAATAAAATAAAAATAAAAAAGAGAGAAAATAGAGACAGGTATGAATTGATAAAATTGTTTGATATTAAAGAGTGTGTTAATGTGTTGATTGAATTGTATGAAGTGAAGTGTTGCATAAAGAAAATGATATTTTTTAGCAGAGAAAAAATGTTCGAAATAAAATTTTATAACATTTGATCAAAGTAGATAAAAATTAAATCAATTTTAACTATTATTATTTTTTTATAAATTGAGAATTTAACTTTTAAATTTTAATATTATATAGACTAACAATAATCCGTACCTGAAGAGATTATGTAATACAAAAAATTATATATTGATTATGTAATATTTATATTTTAAATAATTTTTTATTTTTATTTTTTCTTTTCTTTTCTTTTCTTTGAGAGATAGAGAGATATAGAAGAGAAAAGTAAGTATGAATTAATGAAATTGTCTGAGATTGTGGATCGCTAAGAGAAAATGGTATTTTTAAGCAAAAAAATATATTTTATAATGAATTTTATACTATTAAATAAAAGTATATAAAAATTGGATCAAACTTGATCATTGCACTTTTATAGATAAAAAATTCAACTTACTAATTGTATAGATTTTAGATAAATTTTATGCAAACCCTGACATTTGATATAATTACCCAATGCACCCCTAATATATTTTAAAAGTTGAATAGACAAACCCAATCATACGACCTTAAAGATCTCAACAAAATGATTTTATTTTTGTTTTTATCTCATAAGCTCGATCAAATTTTTATGAATGTAGATAGATTTAAACTAATAAAAAATCTCACACCCTAATAACATTAACTGGCACCCAATCGATGAAATCGTAATTTTTAAATTTGGCCCAAACATCGACCCAATAAATAAATCAGGTAATAGGTCAAAAAATACTATTTAAAATTAAAATATCAGCATAAAACATATATTTGATAAGCACAACCATTAAATAGGTAATAGTGGAAATATGAAATACACATTTTAAGTTTATTTTTTAAATTTATATGTATCATTGCTCTAATTTGTCACTTTTAGTACAATCAATCAAGCAGGTTATATAATTAATTAATTAATAAATAATAATAATAATAATAATTTAATAGAATCCCACATCGAAAGACGAGAACAACAGACGAGGAGCATATTAAAATGAGTCGGTGATTTTGGTCCTTGAAATGTTGAACATGTTTTTATATGGTCTTTCAAGTGGATAATTTTTAAATTAATAACGATTTTTGATCATAAATTTATTATGTAATACTTAAATATTGACAAAATATAATTTGAATAACTTTTGATCAAATTTTTATTCAAATTTTAGTCAAATAACTATCCAAATTACACATTTTTTTATCATAAACTATCTAAATTTTAATAGAAAAAACTACCAATATTACATTTTTTTTGTCAAAAGCTACTCAAATTTTGGTAAAGAGTTACTCAAATTATATTTTATCAATATTTAAATATTACATGACAAGTTTATGATAAAAAATCGTTAATAATCTGGACGTTGTCTATTTAAGGGATCATATAAAAATATATTCAATATTTCAGGGACCAAAATGAGACAAATCTAATGTTTTGAGGACCTCCATTTCAATTAACTCTTATATTAATAACCTATATATCTATATCTATACTATTTTAAAATGTCAACAAAAGTGAAAAATTTTTGTTTGATTATTGTCTTTGATTATTGTTATAAAGTAAATCATATCCTCTCATTTATTTTCATTTTATTCAATTAATTAAAAAATCTTTTCATCTTCTTAAATTAATTATGTGCATAAATTTAACATTTAATTATATTCATTTGAGCTATAGTAATTAATTTTAAACTTTAATTTCCATTTTAATTTTAATTTTAATTTTGTCCTTAAATGATCTTGTGACAATTATTCTTTAATTTGGCTTAAATATAAAAAACTTTTGACTTTATACTTTCTTAAATATAATCACTTGAATATCAAACTATCATCCATCTCAATAAATATTCTTCATTATGTAGTAAATTTATTTATAGAGACTTTTTATCTCTCTTTTTTTAAATCATCGAGTTTACCAGAACATTCTCCCACAATAAGAAGAGTTTGACTCGGACAAGTTCATGACATGAAGAGCCTTTAGATGAAGAACGCCCAATTAATTATTTATCGCACATAATTTCTTGTCTTTTTGTATTTCAAACTACCAGTCATCTATTCATTTTCTTCTCATCCATTCAATTTTTCTCTCACTCTACATGCACAAATATTATAAATAAACAAACAAATTAGAATCAAAATTGATTTGTTTTAATTAGCTACTTTGCAACTTCCTATGTTCTCTTCATTTTTTTTACAAGTTTTTTTGTATATATATATTGTGTCCTCCATAGAGATTCCACTCCTACTATTAATCACTCTCTACATATTTAAAACCTAATAATAATGAGTAATATTATTTAGACCTAAAAATTTGACATAATAATGTGACTTTATAAGAATTATTGGATCAATATTAAGTTTCAATATTTGATGGGGTCTATAGTGAATCCAAAGGTCCCNATCAATCAAGCAGGTTATATAATTAATTAATTAATAAATAATAATAATAATAATAATAATAATAATAATTTAATAGAATCCCACATCGAAAGACGAGAACAACAGACGAGGAGCATAACCCTATTAAAATGAGTCGGTGATTTTGGTCCTTGAAATGTTGAACATGTTTTTATATGGTCTTTCAAGTGGATAATTTTTAAATTAATAACGATTTTTGATCATAAATTTATTATGTAATACTTAAATATTGACAAAATATAATTTGAATAACTTTTGATCAAATTTTTATTCAAATTTTAGTCAAATAACTATCCAAATTACACATTTTTTTATCATAAACTATCTAAATTTTAATAGAAAAAACTACCAATATTACATTTTTTTTGTCAAAAGCTACTCAAATTTTGGTAAAGAGTTACTCAAATTATATTTTATCAATATTTAAATATTACATGACAAGTTTATGATAAAAAATCGTTAATAATCTGGACGTTGTCTATTTAAGGGATCATATAAAAATATATTCAATATTTCAGGGACCAAAATGAGACAAATCTAATGTTTTGAGGACCTCCATTTCAATTAACTCTTATATTAATAACCTATATATCTATATCTATACTATTTTAAAATGTCAACAAAAGTGAAAAATTTTTGTTTGATTATTGTCTTTGATTATTGTTATAAAGTAAATCATATCCTCTCATTTATTTTCATTTTATTCAATTAATTAAAAAATCTTTTCATCTTCTTAAATTAATTATGTGCATAAATTTAACATTTAATTATATTCATTTGAGCTATAGTAATTAATTTTAAACTTTAATTTCCATTTTAATTTTAATTTTAATTTTGTCCTTAAATGATCTTGTGACAATTATTCTTTAATTTGGCTTAAATATAAAAAACTTTTGACTTTATACTTTCTTAAATATAATCACTTGAATATCAAACTATCATCCATCTCAATAAATATTCTTCATTGTGTAGTAAATTTATTTATAGAGACTTTTTATCTCTCTTTTTTTAAATCATCGAGTTTACTAGAACATTCTCCCACAATAAGAAGAGTTTGACTCGGACAAGTTCATGACATGAAGAGCCTTTAGATGAAGAACGCCCAATTAATTATTTATCGCACATAATTTCTTGTCTTTTTGTATTTCAAACTACCAGTCATCTATTCATTTTCTTCTCATCCATTCAATTTTTCTCTCACTCTACATGCACAAATATTATAAATAAACAAACAAATTAGAATCAAAATTGATTTGTTTTAATTAGCTACTTTGCAACTTCCTATGTTCTCTTCATTTTTTTTACAAGTTTTTGTATATATATATATTGTGTCCTCCATAGAGATTCCACTCCTACTATTAATCACTCTCTACATATTTAAAACCTAATAATAATGAGTAATATTATTTAAACCTAAAAATTTGACATAATAATGTGACTTTATAAGAATTATCGGATCAATATTAAGTTTCAATATTTGATGGGGTCTATAGTGAATCCAAAAGTTCTAGTAAATTAAGTCAATAAATTATGTCAATAAATTAGGTCTTAATAGCATTACTCAATAACAATACCCACCACTTTTTCAAATTCATGTTCACCCACTTCATCATTATGTTCCACCGTCACACTATGCTACAGTAAAATGCTACAATAAGGTGGACTTTTCAATAATCTGAGGTTCATAGATTAAACATCTTTTGGGGCTTGGTTTAACTGATATCGTTGAATGTCTCTCTCACTCACCCCGACAACCATTATTTATATTATTTTTAACATATAGGTTGTGCATGTAGCTGGAATAAAATTGTATCAACATCCTTTATCCATTCATCCAAGCAATAAGATGTCAAAAAATTAACGTCATTGGCATGTAAAAATAAAGTTGATGAAGTTTATTATATATATTGATTGGTATTTTTTTGTTCTAGACTCCTCAATCACTATGGAGCAAATCCATATTTCACATGAGTAGGTAATTGATTTTTTTGGTTTTTAGAGTTGGTAATTATGGTTCTTTTATTTTTTTGAATTGAATTTACGCTCCTCCTAGTAAAATAGAATTCATGACTTGTCATTGACATTGAGAATCAAAATTTAAATTAACTTTGTCCTCGAATTTCAATTCAAATGCATAAATAATTCACTATTTTTTATTATTATCTAGCTATTAATTTTGATATTTTTACATACCACAACATACATATATATTTGGGTGTTAGACCATACCATAGAAGCAAATA